TTTATTTTGGTTGCACACATAAAAAGAGAGTTATGTATATAACCTAATGCAAATAAATGCAAAAATAATAATAGTTTATGTATTGTCATATGTGTGCTAAACATTAAAATCCATTACGTATCATTTAACATTTGAATTTACTTACTTTTACGTGTAACGATTAGCAATTGAAATTTATAGGTTAAGTTTATTATGAAAATTATTATAAAAATTGTATGTTCTTGTTTTCAGGTTAACTAATGTGGTTATTTTAAATAAACAATTAGAAATAATGTCTTTAAAGCACGTTGTTATAGGTAAGTTTAAATATTCTTCTTTTTAATAATAATGAATTTTTAAATATCCGTGTAATCATTGATAAAGTTTTATAATTCTTAGGTGGAGGTACTGGATTTATAGGGAAACGTTTAATAGACTTATTATGTCAACAAGGTATAACGTGTACAATTGTTTCACGACAAACAGGTCCTAATAGAATATCCTGGGTAAAAAATGATTTCTAGTATAAAAGTTGACAACAATTCTTTTTTGATTCTATACAAAAATTAATACAATTTTTGTTTCATTGTTCCTACGAATTTTATAGAAAGATGTACAAGAAAATGGTCTTCCTAAATATACGTCTGCTGTAATTAATGTTGCTGGTCAAAATGTACTCGATCCAACAAAACGTTGGTCGTCTGAATTTAAACAAGTTGTTATAGATAGTAGAGTAAAAACAACTGAAACCTTAGCCAGAGCGGTCGAATTTACAGATGCAAAAGCTTTCGTTACTATTTCTGGTGTTGCTTGTTATAAACCTAATGGTACTACTTATACAGAGGAAAATGAATGTATACCTTATGATTTTTTATCAGGTAAATTGATAAACTAAGAATATAATATACGTTTGTGACACATGTTTATGTACATTAAATTAAGAAAATTACATGTACAAACTATGTTAGAACTTTGTCGTGACTGGGAAGCTGCTGCACAACTTTCGAAGGAAAGTAAAATTAGACAGGTTACTATTAGATCTGGAGTAGTGTTAGGTAAAGGTGGTGGTATGATTAAACAAATTTATTTACCATTTTTATTCGGACTTGGTGGTCCCATCGGTACTGGAAATCAATATATGCCATGGATACATATTACCGATCTTGTTAACATGTTTCTCTTCGCTATGAAAAATGATAATGTTCGTGGTATTTTAAATGGTGTTGCGCCTGAGGTAATAAAAAAACAATTTCAAATAAACAAAACGATTTGTAGTTGATGTTGTTAAATGATGATAGATTTATTATTATATTTTTTGTAATAGCCTGTGACGAACAAAGAATTTACGAAAGCATTTGCTTCTGCTTTACGACGACCAGCTATAATACCAGTTCCAAGTTTTGTTTTAAATGTAATGTTTAGTGGAGAACGAGCAAAAGTTAGTATCTCATTTTTCTTTTATTCCTATATAGAATTTCGATAATGTGTAATATGCAATTTTTAATAGATGATGTTGGAAGGGCAAAAAGTACTTCCTAAAAGAACCAAAGAATTAGGTTTTCAATATCAATTTCCTGATATAAATAGTGCCTGCAAAGAGATCGTCAATTAAATGATATTAATTAATTATTTATCTGATTAAGTTTCATCAAATATATACATAATTTATTTATAATTAACAGAAAAATATATGTATATATATACTAAAGTGCTTATGTGTATAAATATAATTATTATGTGTTTTAACATAATATTTATTGATTCAAATATAAACAAGTAAAAAATCAATGTGAGTTAATAATCTAAGATACAACTAACATAAACACCATCTACCATTTGATCAATACTGATTAACAATTAATATCATAAACGCAGGACTTGTTTAAAATAATTTTATATTAGTTTCACGTTCACAAGAACATACAGATATTGGTTTCATACATTTAAAATAAGATAAGGATGTATTATTTTCTGTATATGGTCCCTTTCTTAAATGCTTTTCTTGACAACTTTTAACAATCTTTTTGGATCCCAGTAACGGCATACTAAGATTTTGTTGTAGCGAATATTTAAAATCATTCATTTCATTATTAGAACGTAAAGTTTCTTTGGATATGGAATTAGATTTATACTTTTTAGGAAGCTTATTAAATCGTTGCTTTTCTAAATCTGAAATAATAGCAAGCTGATCGTATGGATCATTTGGAAAACAATCCAAATATTCAATTCGACTCATATTCAAAAAATAATTTATTTCTTTCCTTAAAGTTTGTACTTCTTTATGCGTTAAACCATTCATATTGATAGATACAGTTTGTCCACTCTTATGAACAATAAATAAACCCAAATCTACAGATACTCCGACATATCTTATATCGTTTAATTCCATAATGATGAATTGTTTATTTAAAAATTTGCAACATAACTTATCGCTCCATGTGTACTTTGATATAACAGCTTTGTTTGTTTCTTTATTTAATATTAGATCTTCCCATTCCTCTAAAGTATCCAAACAAAATGTTATTTCTCCAAGTATTGAAACGACCAGAAAAAAAATATTATTCGTCACGTGATAACATATCCAAATGAAAAGAATAGTGTATACTGTAAAGTAAAATGATTTTTTAATAAATTTGTCTCAATTTAATCGATGATCATAAGAAATTGTTACGCGAACATATTTAAATATTTATATAAATTTAAAAAAAAATAAAAAAATAAATAAAAATCGTTGCATCTTACAACTAAATATGAGCCAGGTTAAGGATCTTGGTCTTCTTGATATATGAAATTTAGTTTTATTTATATATTTAATTTCTGGTCTGGTTAATAAAATCATTGTATTCAAAATTTAACGTAGATTTGTTTTTGTCAATATTTAAAATAAAAAGAAAGGAACTATGTATTAATTAAAAAGAGAATTTTAATAATTAAATGTATTAACAAAAAAGATCATAAACAACCATAATTTAATGCGCTTTTCGTTTATTTTTTTTTTTTTCATATGAGTTCAATTAAATTTCATGCAAATGTTTTTGATTTTCAATCTAATTGTAATATAAAATCATTTCTTTTTAATCGCATCAACGTATGTTATCATTTGAATTATTTACTTTTTGGCGCTAAAATTTATCGTTTAAAATACGATTCGTAAATCATCGAAGAAGATTATCGATAAATAATATATTTGATTAATTTCTTTGATTTGTCAATTAAAATATATTCAATATAATTGATAATTAATATTTTAGTTTGTTATTATATTGTTATCTACGATTATAAACAAAATAAACGAATAAAAATATAATGTGGCGTCCCGCACCTGCTCGGTGCTGACACCTCTCGGTCGACTCTTGAGTTGCATGGTTTCTCTCCAGGGCGGTGCTGACACTTTCCTGTACACCGGCGCTAACCTACACAGATGTCCCTAGCAGCCGTCTAGAGTACACGCGTCCGGCGGCGGCACCATCAGTTGGTCCAGGAGGTGTCAGCATCTGATTGGCCGAAGCATGTGACGTAATCGCAACCGGGGGCTTTTACTGGCGGATCGACGTGGTTAGTTCTCTGCGCGTCTGCCCTCGCGCCCCGATGATCTAATCTAGGCTTCAGCCGAAGCTGCGTCGATATCGATCATTCTAGTGCGGTTCGTCGAACTCTTTAGTCGAAAGTCAATTTAGCTCAGTTTATCTTATTTTACTATTTCTGTTCCGTAAATTCTCTGTCTTCGCTTCGTGTGTATTTCCCTGTTGTATATTTCGTAAAATCTGGACTGTGAGATTACTAGAGAAAAAAAGGAGAAATCCCTGGTCGTGTCCAGCCTTTTCATTGGTCGTTGCAGTGGACAGTAACTAGCCATTCGGCGCGCGGCCATTCGGATTTCCTACAATAATATTTCAACAATTACTTTTCAAATGTAGAATACAGTTTTGATCGATATAATATATCGATATAATATAAATTATACTATTAAATAAATAAATAGACAAATAAATAATAAAATTAATCAGATAATAAAAATGATTATCATAAAAATAAAAAGAAAACGTATATTATTAATAAAAAAAAAAGAAAATAAATGGTTGCATAGTCAAGCGGAGAGTCGAGTAAACAAAATTCAAGATGGCGCAGGTTCGAAACACAGCTGTTGTTTACCCACAAAGCAGCGTCTCGTTTTTTTAGTTAAGCGTTTGTCGGAGTCTAAGGACGTGTTATACCTAACGTGTTCCTTCATAATAAGGAACTAGTAAGGTAAATCGAGATGGAAAGTAGCCATCGAACAATAAGAAACAACAGTAACTACAGAGTGGATCAGTGACAAATCGTGTTTTTTTTTTTTTTATAAATTAAAAGACGCCTATAGTGCAGTGGTGGTGTCGGTGGTGGTGGTGGTGGTAGAGGTGGTGTGATTGTAACGGCGTCGTCGTTAACAGTGGCGACGACGGTGAAGAAGGTGGTGGTGGTGGTGGTGGTGCGGTGGTGGTGGCGGCGGAGGTGGTGGTGCTGGTGCATCAGCAACAGCAGTAAAAGTAGTAGTAGTAGTTGTAGTAGTAGTAGTAGAAACAGCAGTAACAACAGTAACAGCATTGGTCCTAAGAAAACCCAGTACACGACAAATTTTCCTGATGCAAGAAATGATCGATGATTACCACCAGTTGAAGAAGAAGACGACGACGAGGACGACCACGACGACATCGATAATAATAATTATGATAACGACGATGATGATAATGATGATGATGGTGATGATGATGATGATGATGATGACAGTAACAGTAACAACTACGACGGAATAAGACAAATCTTACCTAGGATAAATATATATATGTATATATGTCACACATACATATATATATTTTTTGTCTTTCGAAAAAAGAAACGATATAAATCTCAATTGAAATTATTCAACATTTCGAGCTTGATAATATAACAGTTGTGTGTTAACGAAGTAAGTATAAAGAAATATAATAAATTATTACAATAATGCTTTACGATTATTGTATTCGTTTTTGAATATTCCAAACCTTTCGATATTCTTCGAGTTTTTTCAATACGATCGAGGAGCTCGATTATATATATATCGTTACGTAAAGTATTCGTAGCGCGGCAAAACGATGTAAAGGAAGTTGACGTTATATTCGAACACGTTGCACGATATATATTTTTCTTTGTTTATCTTATATTTATTTTTTTTTTTTACTTTTTTTAAAATCATTTTTCAAATTTCTTTCCCCTTCCCTCATTTTCTTTTTTTCTTCCTTTCTTTCTCTTTCTCTCTCTCTCTCTCTTTTTTTTCTCTTTCTTTGTCCGTCTTCCCATTTCTCTCATATCATTGATGGAAAACGTGGCGTTTAGATTGTAATATGATTTTCATATTTTCCTCTATCATTCATGGTGGAAAGCTGTGACGATCATAACCTCTCCAGCATATTTAAACGTTAAACGTTTTGGATTATTTCCAAAGAGAACAGCTGCAACGTTGCACCGATGATCCGCGTTTTTATTTTGTTATTTTTTTGTGAGGTTATGAGAAAATAATTGTGTTTATTTATTTTTATTATATCCATTTGGTGTTCAGTTACGTATAATTGTTACACGATGTAGCTAAATACATTTCAATTTGTATATTTTATTAAGTTTATTATAATTTATATTTGACATTTAATGTTAGTATAATATATATATTGTGATTTGTTTATTTCTTTTTATTTTCAATGCTTTAAGTTATTTTTCAACAATCTTTGTTTACCTATTTCTCGTTTTAATGGCAAATAATAATATGTTAGGATTATTGCCTTGTTGGTGCCCATTATCAAAAGTAATTGTAAAATCTACTCAAATTTATTTTATTCAAAGTTTATGATCTTTATTGTAGTATGTCAAGTACAAAATTTGAAGTACGTAATACATTATTGGACAATTATTGAAACTATATTTCTATTTGTCTTGCTTTTTTATTTCTTTTTAACACGTTCGTTATCGTACCATGGAACGAAGAGATTTAGAACTGATTTGTTACATCGATTACAGTGATTATTATAAATGTTTATGATGCTGAAGGATCTTGATGAAAATCTGTTCGTCACAGATACACAATAATATCGATAACAAATGTGTTAATCTCTTAGTATAGAATTTATTTAGTTAGAATGCAAAATTAGGTTTCAAAAAGGACTAAGAAATTAATTATCATTTTAGGTATCACAATGAACGCCAGAACGCAATTATTTGAATTAACCATGGAGGGTCGTCAAGTGGACGAAGCTGTAGCAAGTATATTTCACAGCGTTCTATTTCATAGAAGCCTTGGAAAATTTAAGTACAAAGAAGAAGGCAGCTATTCCGTCGGCACTGTCGGATATCAAGATGTTGATTGTGATTTCATCGATTTCACATACGTATGCTGTTCTTCGGTACATCTTGACCAAACTATAAAAAAAGAAATATCTGGTTTCTCTGAAGCTTTACGTTCTACGGATAGTCCCGGTTCTGGTCAAATATCATTGGAATTTTTTCAAAGAAAGAAGAACCGTTGGCCCTTCCATACTGAGTGTATACCGTGGGAAGTATGGACGGTCAGGTTACAGCTAATTAAATTAGCCACCGAGCACGAACGTCAAATATGTAGAGAGAAAGTTGGTGATTTATTGACGGAAAAAATTCTTTATATAACTGAGGTCATGAACAGGCACGACTATTTACCAAAAATGCCAAATCAAGCTGAATTAGATTTGATTTTTGATACTTCTTATCCGGACGTTCAGCCTTACTTATTTAAATTGTCTTTTACAACTTCTAGCCCATCGAGTTCTACCATGGGTAATACAATGAAGAAGTTGATAAAGGAGACATTGTCCATTTAGTTATAATATCAATTTTCAATTAGATTAATTAAATAAATGACTAATCTTTTAAGTAAAAACAATGAGTAATGTATAAGAAAATATACATAAATTTAGTGAAGTTTCATTTACAATGATCACGTATATTAAATTCATTCTATAGCAAATCAGCTATCATAATTTATATGCTCCTTCTGGGTATTTTTTTTTTTCTTTTTTTAGAGATCTTTTATTATACGACAATTAGAAAACATTTTGATTTAATGTAATATAACTTACATTACATTGAATATGTAAACATTCGTTTTAATTCATATTAATTTATCACCAAAGCAGTTTGATTGGTGAAGAAGAAACAACAAAAAAATAATAATAAATATATTCTACACGATAATAGAAGTGTGTAATTAAATATTATACATGCTGTTATAGTTCATACAATTAGTCTGTAAAGGTAGTTTTATCTGTGTGTTAGCAATATCATTATAATGTATTTGATAATATTAGAGTAAAAAATACATTACTGCGTACATTGCAGCTATTAACTGCTAACGTACCTCTGTCAACTTTATAGTACAAATAAATGTAAAAATTTGTTTTTGTTTTTCTACATCATATAATACGTCCATTGCGCGATTCAACACAATCGTTGATGATCTATACTTTTAAATATATGAAATCTTCCAATGCATTGGTTACTTCGAAAAATAAAAAAATAATTAAAAAAAAAAAAAAATAAAAGAAATGTATGTATGTAAATTATTATATTATATACATTTTTCCGGTTAAGAAATTGTATTGTTTGCGCAATGATCTCTGGGCTGTTCGATCACAAAAGAAACAAAGAAGATCAATGAAAAATCAGTTTATAATCTTTTCAACAACAAAATTAAAGTAATCATTCGCTCGCTCTGCAATTTTGTCAGCAGAAAAATTGAAATAGTTAAGAATCTAATTACTACCGTGTATTGTACATTTTAGGATATCTTATAAAGAGTTAGAGAGACATGTGTGATACATAAATTTTAAACGTTTACTAGAAATATATCTATATATATTAAATATATATATATACATATATATCTATCTATCTATCTATCTATCTATAGCATTGATACTATTGCAATGGGAACGCTTAATGCTTCAGCATTAGATTTAGGAAGTTCAGTAGGTAAAGTTTTATAAATATCGCTGAAATTTATGGAGCCACTAATTTGATCATTTTCCTGCGTTTCTTCTTTATTATCAGTATCAGTTTTCTTTTCCGAAACAGCTTTCCATATTGTTTTCTTTAATTGATGCATGTCAATTTTTTTAGCACGTGAAGGATACCTCGCAATAATTTTATTAATTAATGTAGGTGCTGTTACCAAATTATCATTAGTAAATGGTATCGGATTTTCTATTGGATTTTCATCTGAATCATTTTTATCTTGTGTATCGCAATCGACATCTATACCAGGACAAAAGTTAGATACATCATTATCATTGTTATAATTATAATTTTCTATATCTTCAGGCAATTGTGTTGAATTTAGTGGACCTTCTGAGTTAGGATACGAAGAGATTGAAGGACAAAGATATAATTTAGTAAAGTTCGTAATATCGTAATGCAAATCTTCCGGTAATGTTATTTTCTCCTCCATCCAATTGTTTCTTACTGTTCTTAATTGTATTCTGTTCACTTTGCTACATTCAAACTTTTGATCCAATTTAGATTTATTTTCGTTGGTGTATGAAAGTTCAAATTCTTTTCTCTTCTTACGTGCAGTATGTTGACAAGTTTCTACTACTTTGCTATTACTTAACAATGTTTTTAGACCTTTATGTTTCCAATAAGAAGGTCCTGCCCGATGAATTAAATTCATATTTTTATTTAATAAAGAATATTCTGGCATTTCCTCATTTTGCATTATTTGTTCGGTCATAATTTTACGAAAATCTACTATATTTTCCGTTTGTTTCGGATTTGTCGCACACATATTTTTATCATTTGTATCTGTATCCATTTGAAAATAATTCGCTTCTTCAAAATACTCTTCATCTGCAGAAGGTATACTGGCATCAAGATCAAAATGAAATTGTTGATTTTCATTGTTTTTTTGTACAGGCTCTATGATTTCTTCTTCATCTTCCAATGACCATCTTAAAAATTGAAAATCAGACATGCTCGGAAACAGATCTGACTGAAAAATATCATCTATCTTTGATATAGTATAAGTACGACAATTTTCATTATTTTCATTTGTTTCATTTAATTGATCTAAAATAATATCATTGTATATATTATGATAAAAGCCTGAATTAGCAAGATGCGGAAACACTATTTGGTAGAGCATATCAGACGAACAAAAATCTCCTTTTCCTACAGTCATTCGCGAGAGTACCATTGTTTCTATTGTTCCACTTAATGCATCATCTGTACTAATAATCTTTTGTTTTCCTTTTTTCTTTTTTTTCTTCGTTTGACTTTTTACTTCTTCTTCTTCTCCATCTGAATCATTGTTAGACTGCGCTATTTCCATATCAGTTGAATTATCCTCCTTTTGTTTATCCAATGCACCAACCATTTTTAAAACGTCTGTGTACATACCGTCAATGCGATACCCATAAATTTTGGCACATACATCCAACGATGTGCTAGCCATTTGCAAATTAGTCATTTCTGAATATCTTTTAGTAACCATGTACGTCATATAATCAATCATTTTTAAACTAAATGCATTTTTAGGATTGATTTTATTTTCAGTACTCAATTTGATATATTCAGATATGAGCTCGGTCATTTTAGTTTCTGGCATTTGTGCTAAAGAGCTTAGACCTAAGGACTGTTTTCTTTCGTTATATTTATTATTTGGTGTACTTGAAGTACACCATTTAGTAAATCTAACGAAAGAAGACAATCCTTAGGTCTAAGCTCTTTAGCACCATATATATATTTGGTACATGACAACATATTTTTTAATTTTGCAGATTTTAAACTTTCTACAATGAATATAAACGAGTTATAAATCAAAAATAAGTGCAAATAATATATAAATATATATATTTTTTCTGTTTACTTTACTTTTCTTTTTCTTTTTGTTAAGTAAACGTGCAATTTAATTGCTTATGCGAAATATTAAACAGATTAAGGTCAAAATATATAGTCAGCCAATTAAATGTTAATTGAAGAAGAAGAGCAACAACAACAAAATATTGTAGAAGAAAATATTAAATGAAAAATAAGTTTGCGGAGTATGTCGGACTTTCTATTAAGAGTTACCAATTTGTTTTCTTGTGTTAATGCTGCAATGTTTAGCGGTTGAAAAATAATATACATATATATATATATATATATATATATATATATATATATACAACGTGTCAATCAACAACAAAACTAGGTTTCCTTAGTTTGCACCAAACCTAGTCCAATAGTTTGCTGCTTTTTTTTTTTTTATTCTATTTCTTTTTTTCTTTTTCTTTATCCCTAGCACACAATTAATTTATCGAGTTTACTTGGGAATTAAGGACTCCTAGCAACCATAATATATATATATATATATATATATTTATATATATATATTTCTCCCTTTCCCTTTTCATTTTTTGTCTTCTTTCCTTATTTATCTCGACCCTTACTTTTTTTTCATCATTCATCCCCCCTATCAGCAAGTAATAAAATCAAGAGCCAATTAGAAAACCTCATTCTAAAAAAACCATGATTAAAAAACTTCAGAGTACTTTTTCTTTTTTTTTTTTTTTTTTTTTTTGTATCTTTCTCCTCATTTTTGTAATTTTCTGTTTGTTTCAATTTTTTTTTTTTTTTTTTTTTTTTCATTTTTTCATTCCAAATGTCTTAACGCGACATTAGATTCTCCCATAATTTTTTTTTTGCCTTTTTTTTTGTTCTTCTTCTTCTNGAATGATGTGTATCGCATATGTGTAAAAGGTATGCTTGAATTTATATTACCGGTAATAATGTATGTACATATATATATATATATATATATATATAGGATGTGCTCTAATTTTTCTCATCAAAATTTTATTAGTCTATTCTATAAGTAAAAAATACAAGATAAATGTTATAAAAAAATACACGTTTTTAAAAGTTTAGTTAGAAAGTTATAACAAAAATATGAAATGACAATTAATTGCTTTTTTCTGCAACCACAATATTATAAATATTATATCATAATGTGAAGGAATTATTTATGTTTATTTATGTTTTATTGTATATCATTAAAAAAATATACGTGTATAAAATTTTGCATCAAAAAAAAAATTGGTACACTCTGCATGTGTATATTATTTTTCTCTGTTCGTAATAATATTTTATATAAAAAGAAACCAAGAAACCAAGAAAGAAAGAAAGAAAGAAAGAAAGAACAAAAAAATAGGATAAAAAAAGTAAAAAAAAATGAATCACCGTTTCAAGTTCAACCGTCGCTCAAATTTTGGCTATTATCATATAATTATATAGAAAATAAGTTTTATAATAGCACGTTTAATAATTTATATGAGAATTATAAAAAAAAAAAAAAAAAAAATTATCAAGTAATACTCGCAAAAGCAGTTATCATAACAACACGAAAACAAAGAAAAAGAAAAAGAATAAGGAAAAGGAGAAAAGAAAATAACAACAATAAAATATAAAGTTTTTATTATACTCTGCTTTGATCGTACTTCAGGTATTTTAATTTAGATTCATAGAAAAACTTTCTTCTATCAAATTAAACAAATGCATATATAAAAACGACGTATTACTTATCTACGAATTCAATCTTTAAGATCTGTACCTATTAAAACGCTACTCAAATAATATCAGTACAATACTTTTGAGAGAAACACTAATGCGATATTATTATTATTATTATTATTATTATTATTATTATTATTATTATTATTATCATCAAGATCAAAGCATATATGATTTTTACAATTTTGATTTCATATCTATGACAAGGTAAAAGAAAAAAGAATAAACAAGAAAAGAGAAGAACGCATTTCTCTATCTCTTCTCGTTTGATAATATATTTCAAAATAACTCGCATAATTAATATATTATTATTCTATTGATTTTATTTGAAACATTTTAATAGTAAATAGATTGAACAGTTGTCCACGATTCTTGAATCCATCCATACTTTGTTCACTTATTCAAAATAAGATATGTAGATTCTTAAAGAGTGATCATACTGTGCTTGGATTATGTTGAACACATGATCGTATAGGAAATTTCTATATATATATGCACACATAGAACACGACTGTTATTTATTTTTATGAATGATGTGTATCGCATATGTGTAAAAGGTATGCTTGAATTTATATTACCGGTAATAATGTATGTACATATATATATATATATATATATGTACGCTGATTAGCTAATTTACTTAACATACTGCTTTTCTTTTTCTTTAAATACTTCTTCATTTAGTGTTTCCTTTTTAGTGTTATTTTTTATAATTTTATCTTTTTTTTTTTTTTAAATTCAAATTATAGTGATACAATGCTGTGTCTTTAAAATATTAAACTATGTAGAGAGATCTCGTAAAGCATGTCAAAGAACGTTGATATGAAAAACAAAAAAAAAAAGCGAACTAAACAACATTTTCAGTCCCAATTAAATTTTCAAACGTTTTGTGCCTTTGTATAGATGTTTAGAAGAAAATAATATCATATCTACATAAAAAAGAAAAAAAGAAAAAAAAAAAAAGAAAAAGAAAAAAGAAAAGAAAAGACAAGAAAAGAAATTACAATCAGTTAAAGATTAACTTTGAACGAGCATTAATTTTAAAAAAAGAACTAACAAAGCGAAGAATATAAAAAAGAACATTCTGCATATTTACGAAGTTTTGCTAATAGTCAGCATAATTTTGTTAATCTTAATGTATTATCTAATCGCCAGAGAATAATTATTTACAACATTGAAACTAAAGAAACTATGATAGCGAATTTTTCGAAAGAATGAATTTTCATAGTAATAATTAATTTCAAATAATGTAAATAAAACTAAATGAAAATATTAATCAATATATATATATATATATATACAGACGCATAGAAATATATACTCTTCATTTTTGATCAGAAGCATCTTGCTTTGAATGCAGGTGCATTGCAAAACAGATAGTAAATATATATATATATATATATATATATATATATATAAATATAAATACCATAAAATAATACTATAAAAGTAACTATCTTTTCCAAGATTCACTTTTAATTATATTTGCAATAATAAAAAATGCTAATTAGTAGATAATAATATATATATATGACATTAGTAGTCGAATACGCACACCATTCATATTATCATTTAATTTATTTTGTCAGTTATTATTAGCATCTTCTTTTTGATCGTTACTTAACACCTATATAAGTAATTTTCTTTTTCCCTAATTAAGTTATATTTAAGTAGTATAAATTCTTAACTATTAATAATTAATATGTGTGTGTCAATTTAATTTAGAAAACAAAATATATATATATTATTAATAATATAATTAAGATATTTTTTTTTTAGTATATAGTTACTTTTATCTTAGTTACTTTAGTAATACTTATTATAATTCGACTGTAACACTTCTTTTCCTCGCACCGCAAGATATAATGCACTTGCACGAATGTATAAAGTTTTAAGCATTTTGGATATAGAATTACCTGCTGTAATAATTGTAAGAAAATGCTAAAGCTATATAATATAAATATATACATATACAACATTACATTAAGATATACATATATATACAAATATAAAAGAGATAATATTCACACAAGAAATAAAGATACAAAGATAATGAATGATTATGCGTGAAACAATTCAGATGACTTATGATATTTAAGTCTTTAAATAAAAGTAATAATAACAACATTAATAATAATTATAATAATAATAACATTAATAATAAAGAAATATGCTATGTACATTCTATATGTGTGTACACATATATATATGAGTATACATTTATACTTACATATGCAGATTGCATGTACATAACACACAAACAAATATATTCACATGAGGACATATATAAAATATACAATAGTCAGTAGGAAAAATCTGTACATTATAACATAATGCAAGGAAATAAGCGAAAAATTCTGTTGTATAGTAAGAAATAATAGATTCGTTAGTTTTAATTTATCACGATTATGATGATGTTAAATGATTAATTATTAATAAACCACTGTATTTTATAATGATCGTTGTCACATTTATTTAAACATTTTTGAAATTTATTATACATGCCATTATATATATAATAATATTATAATAATATAGATAATATAATAAAAAAATATATGATAAAATCAAATAATATAATAATATTAAAATATTATAATATATAATACATCATATGTATATATATATTTGAATAATTAATTACTATAAAAAATAATTTATTATATTAAATACTGTATGTATAAGAATTGTAATATTTTGTTGAAAATTTGTTTCAATGAAATGTACCGGGTATCGGTAAAAAAGAGTTCTATTTTATCGACAAATGATAATTACCATTCGAGGATAATTATCGACGTGGTTTTAATCATATAAAATTCTTCTGAGATTTTCATTACCTTATCTTTCTCTTTCTTAGGTCATATATTTTCAACTACATATCATCGTTCCTTTCGACAAATTCAAAATATTTCAAATACCATAAATACTGATCCCAGTTATGCACCGCAAGATTATCGCGTTCCACGAATAAAACGATCTTATATATATATATATATATATCTTTAGCGTTCTCTGCACACCTTTACTAACATTTTCTCACTGACACAAGAAAACTCTCATACCATTTTAAATTCTTATATAATAAAACCATATAGTCGTATATTTTATCATTTTTCTATAAATTTAACCGAACACTCGTATACTTGCTAGGATCATCAAGATCTTATTAAATTTGAAATATTTCAAAAATGTTTTAGATTATACTTTATGAGATCATTGTTTTTTGAATATGAGAAAAGGTGTACGTGGTATTAGTTGGAAGATTTAATAGAATTACAAAAGGTACAATTTGTATTTTGTTGTTTTTGAAGTGAAAACTTCTTTAGAATAGCTTTGGTTTGAAAAAATGAAATGCGATGATGTAATGGGAAAACGAAACTGGAATTTGCAAACATTTTTTTAAGTGTTTTATTATTTACTTTCTTTGTAGTTATTATTAAAATGCGCGCCTGTATTAATGCAACCCTCCAGACACACTTGGAAAAAGTTGCTTGCGAGCGACATCTACTGGGACGGAATTTTTTCAACCCGAAATATAGGCAACCCGTCATACATACGTATATAAACAGTTTTGACTGGAAAAAATTCCGTCCCAGTAGATGTCGCTCGCAAGCAACATTTTCCAAGTGTGTCTGGAGGGTTGCATAAGAACAGGCGCGCATTTTTGTAATTAAATAATTAAATAAATAATTACAAATTAAAAGTACAAATAATATTATATTAGTATTATATAATAAATTATCCTCGAGACTTGTTTATTTGAAGGTTTCACTTCTAACTTGTGTGATATGCACACATGTTTTTTTTCTTTTGAAAAAAGAAAAATAAAAATAAATTATAATAAGTTTTGTTTTCTTTGTCGTCAATTGTTATAAAATTCAAAATTGTTCAATTGAAACATTTTGTAATATTATTTCGTGTTGAAGAGAGCTCGTATGGCATTTTTTTAAAAGACAATAAAAATAAATAATCGCATAAATCGTTTTTACAGATTGCCTTTAAATAAAATTCGATAGAAACACGTTTTTTCATAGACGTTTTAATTTCACATTATTTGACATTTTGACGAATCATTTTAGTTGCACGTTCATTTTATTTTCCAAAAATTACTTTTCCATCTTTTATCGTACGCTTTTTCTCTTCTTATTTGCTTCTTTTGTTGTTGTTGTTGTTGTTGTTCTTTTAAAATGTTAGTTTGAAAACTTGATATATAAAACAGCAAGCAAGTTGTTTATCAATGCCATATTTTGCGGGAAAAAAGAAAAAAAAAAAAAAACTCGTTGTGTTGTGAGTATACAACAAACAGAGTTATTTTCTCTAATAATATTTCCCATTTATTCCCTTGCTAGATATAAATATGTATTTCCTAGTATAACATAAATTTAGAAATGTAGAAAATTATAATCACAAATCTTTACAATATAGATCTTTTATACAAGTTTTATAAGTTGAAAAATTATGCATTGTTCTTTTAGAGAAAAACAACAAATAATAGAATCGTTAATTAAACAATAATATATATATTGTAAATTGATATAATTTAACTTAAAAATAAAAACGTTAATTTAAATTTAATTTAATTAAATAATGAAATGTAACGATAATAATGTTTAGAAAAAAACTTTCTTTTTTCCTTTTTTTTTTTTCTTAATTCTTCTACATTATTATAAATATTAATATATATATATATAAATATTATAATTTATTAATATTAATATATTATAATTTATATAATAAATATTATAATTATTATTATATAATATTATAT